CGTTCTTTATATGTTTTGGATATTAACCCCTATCATTTGCAAATATGTCTTCCCATTCAGTAGATTGCCTTGTCGTTTTGTTGATAGTTTCCTCTGCTGTGAAAAATTTTTTATTTTGGTGTAGTCCCAATAGTTTAGTTTTGCCTTTTTTCCCTTGCCTGAGGAGACATGTCTAGAAAAATGTTTCAGTGGCCAACGTCAAAGAAATTACTGCCTATATTTTCTTCTAGGAGTTTTATGGTTTCAGGTCTTACATTTAGGTTTTTAATCCATTTTGAGTTTATTTTTTTTTAATTTTTTAAAAGATTTTATTTATTTCTTCATTTAGAGAGAGAGCGTGTGAATGCATGAGTGAGGGAAAGTGCAGAGGGAGAGAGAATCTCCAGCAGACTCTGTGCTAAGTGCAGAGCCAGATGCGGGGCTGGATCCCATGACCCTGAGATAGTGACCTGAGCCGAAACGAAGAGTCGGTCATTCAACCGACTGAGCCACCCAGGCGCCCCTAAGAGTTTTTGTGTATAGTATAAGAAAGTGGTCCAGTTTCATTCTTTTCCAAGTAGCTGTCCAGTTTTCCCAGCACCATTTGTTGAAAAGACTGTCTTTTTCCCTTTGTATGTTCTTGCCTCTTTTGTTGAAGAGTAATTGACCATGTAAGCATGGGTTTATTTCTGAGCTCTTTATCCGGTTCCACTGATCTCCGTGTCTGTTTTTGTGCCAGTGCCAGACTGTTTTGACGACTACAGCTTTGTAGTAAATCTTGAGATCTGGGTTTGTGGTACCTCCAGTTTTGTTCTTCTTCCTCAATTATTGCTTTCCCTAATCAGGGTCTTCGGCGGTTCCATACAAATTTTATTATTATTTGTTCTAGTTCTGTGAAAACTGTTGGTATTTGGGTAGCAACTGCATTAAATCTGTAGATTGCTTTGGGTAGTTTGGACGTTTTAACAATATCGGTTCTTCTCATGACACCAGTGCTTTCCAGCTCCCTCACTCATTGCTCGTGCTTGGCCTCCTTTCCTGCTCCTACTCTGCTTGACCTGGAGTGTAGTACAGCTTCGTTTTGACCTTCTTCTCTGCCTGTGCTCACTCTTTGGGTAATTTCATTCTAGAACTCACGGTTTTAAAGTTGATGTGTGTGCCGGTGACTCCCTGTTTTATATCCCTAGTTCTAACTTCACTCTCTTCATCCCCAGTATTTTCTTCATTAATATCCAACTTCATACACAACCTCTTGACTTGAATGTCTAATCCGACATCTCAAAATTAACATTTGCAAATAGTCCTCTCGACTTACCCACTCAGTTCCTGAAGTCAAAGCATAAGCGTTACCCGGGATTCCCTCTTCTCCTTCTGGTCCACCCCACACCCAACCCGTCAGAAAGACCTGTCAGCTCTGTCCCAGACATAACCACCCAGACCTCACTAACCCTCCATTGCAACCCCAGCATTGGCTGGCTCCCACTCTCCTTGGATCCGCTCAACAGCTGCTTTCATGTCTTTTTCAGGGAGATTTGCTCCGGCCATGCTATTTAAATTTTTTTTTTTTAAGATTTTATTTATTTATTTGACAGAGAAAGACACAGCGAGAGAGGGAATACAAGCAGGGGGGAGTGGGAGAGGGAGAAGCAGGCTCCCCGCCGAGCAGGGAGCCCGATGCGGGACTCGATCCAGGGACTCCAGGATCATGACCTGAGCCGAAGGCAGTCGCTCAACCAACTGAGCCACCCAGGCGCCCCCATGCTATTTAAATTTTAACTACCTATTTGACCCCCTGCCAGCCTCCCATTTCTCCTTTTCTGCTTTATTTTTCTCCTTATTACTTCTTACCCATCTCACATACTCTATATTTTCAATTATTTTGGGGTCTTCTTATGGCACACCCTCCCCACCCCCAACCCCTCATTAGAATGTAAGATACATGAAGTCAGGGCTTTTTTTTCCCCCTGTTTTGTTCACTGCTGTATCCCAACACTTAGAACAGTGCCCTGAATAAATTCTCTGGATAATTATTTGTTGAATAAATACTTCCCTATCAGATTCCCAACTTCCTCTTGACCCGCCCCCAACCCCCTGTCCATTCTCCACAGAGCAGCCAGAGGGATTTTTTTTTTTAAGCCTGTATCAAACATTCTCATTTCCCTACTTAAAAATCTCTCTGTAGTGGTTTCCCATTACAACGAGAGTAAAATTAATATTCCTTATCATGGGCTGCAAGCCCTGAACCTCTGTCCCTGCTACGACCATGCCTCATCTCCCACTCTTCCCCTTCACTATGCATCACATACACTTTCCTTCCTTCTGGTCCATGAACATTTCGAGTCTGTTCCCACATCAGGGCCTTTGCACCTGCTGGTTCCTCAGCCCAAACCAGGGTTTCTCAACCTCCGTACGACTGACATTTTGGGCTCGATGACTCATGGTGCTTGAGGCCTCCCTGTGCGCTGTTGGATATTTAGCAGCATCCCTGGCCTTGACCCACTAGATGCCAGTAGCATTCCTCCAGTGTGATGACCACAGTTGTCTCCAGACATTACCAGACGTTTCGGGGGAGGGAGGGCAAAAGCACCCTGGTCAAGAAGCGGTTGCTTAGACCATTCTGCCCTCAGATCTTTGAGGACTGCTTCTGTTCCATTGCTGAGATCTTACTGTTTCAATTGCTCCTTTCTACATGGGCTGTTCCTTCACAATCTTAACTAAAGTATCCCCCCACTCACACACATACCACCACCACTTAATACCATTAATCGGATTTTTTTTTTCTTTTTAACACTCCTCACTATCCGGAATTATGCTGTCCATTTGTGTTTCCATATTGATTTGTTTCCATATTTCTTTTCTTTCAACTCCTTTTGCTCCTTCCTCTTCCAGAGTGAAATTACCATGAAGAAAGGGCCTTTTTTGAACTTACTTGCTCACTACTGTATCCACTACAACTAGAATTGGCACAGATGACGAGGTGGTCGATAAATGTTTTGATGGAAATAGTACTACAGTGCCCATAAACATGTATACAAATACATGTGGGGGTGGGGGTCCTGTGTGCAATAGAAAGGGGAATATACATGCATGTTCTCCCACACAGTGTACCCTGTTCATCCCATGAGCAGGGCACTTCTCTGTTCGAAAGAAGCCTTAAGGAATTTTTTTTCTGTGTATTTCTTAATTATGGCCAGTGGCAGATTTAGAAAGTCCTTCCTGACTGCCTCACCACCACCATCAACAAAACAAACAAATAAAACTAGGAATATTAATCCAGACTTTGTCCATTGCAAATAGTAGAAACCTAATTTAAACTAGCTTAAACAAAGAAAGAGAGAGTTCTTTCTTTAAGAGAAGTTCAGGGGTAGACAGGGTGATCCAGGCAAGGCTGTTAAGTCACTATCTTGGGCATTCTGTCCTTCCTCCTGTCGAAGCTCTGCTTTCCGCTCTGTTAGATTCCTTCTCAGGCAGGCTGTCCTCAAATCTGGAAAGATGGCCACCAGCAAATCCAAACTTATATTCTACCAGTTTAAAATTTTTAGAAGGAAGAGACATACTTCTAGTGAAGTCCCATTTCAGCAAAATGATATTTTAATTGGACTATCTCTGAGTAAATCACTGGGACCAGGGAATGGCTGGAATATCATGTGTCTTCCCAGACCGGAGTGAATGGTGCACCACCCATCTCCAATCACATGGACCGATAGTAGAGGGAAAGGATGTTCCAGAAATGAAATCCAAGAGAAGGGATCCTCACCAAATCGAAGCCAGAGATGTCCACAGCACTGGACTGTGTACACTTTCTGGGTCACTTCCGTGGACCTTGGCTGGAATGCTGAGTTGTTATTGACTATTTACTTATAAGCTCTGTACAAGCAGGGCTGTGTCTCGTTCAGGGTTCCATCCCCAGGGTTATTTAGAAGATCTTGCACATAGAAGGCTGTCCGTAATGAATAAATATTTCCTTTCCCTTCCTTTCCCCTTCACCTTCCTAGTTCCAGAGATCCTGTTTCCAGTGGGCTCTGCAGAAATTATACTGGGTCTTGCAAAAAGGGAGCTGGGCAAATATTTGTGAAGTAAATATTAAGGGCACTGATAAGTTCATAATAGCCCTTAGCCTTTACTCTTGCCCACAACCCCAGAGGACAGAAGGACGTGGTGCTTTATAGCAAAACCTACTGAACTTGGGGCGCCTCAGTGGCTCAGATGGTTAAGCGTCTGCCTTTGGCTTGGATCATGATCTCAGGCTCCTGGCCTGGAGCCCCACGGGTGGGCTGCCTGCTCAGCGAAGAGTCTGCTTCTCCCTCTCCCTCTGCCTCTCCCCCTGCTTGTGTGCGCTCTCTGTCTCTCTCAAATGAATAAATAAAATCTTTAAAAAAAAAAAAAACCTACTGAGCTTATTACTCAGCCTCCTTTTGCTTTTTCCCTATCTTCTTTGAAATCTGTTACTCTCCTTTTTATCTACCTAAAATGCTTTCCCCATCTCTTGGCAGACCTGTTCCTGTCTGTTTCTGGGCCTTTTCTCTCTGCGGGGTTTTCTTCCTCCCTCTGCAGAAATGATATATTGGTATGGCTTCCGTGTCTCCTTCAGTGTACTTCTTTTTCTTATTTCTGACTATTCTTCTTTCCTTTCCTATTCATAATACAGAAATGGAATTTTTATGTTTGTTATTGACTGTTTACAGATCTATGATTCTTAATTTTCAAGGCTAGTAAACAAAACATTTAAATTTCTCTCTGTAAAAATAAGTGGTACTTGGCACAGTTAGTGACTGCCAAAAGGAAATCAATACCCAGCCATCTTTGCGGAACTGGTTTTGCAATAAATAATGAGAATTTAATGAAATATTTCTAGGATATAGCTGTACACAGAGGAAACTAATATAAAGTTATAGGGGCCTAATGCTTCAACTGGAAATTCCAACAAAAGATCAATTTGGTTGCTAAGCAGAGAACAATGTTTAAGGTTTAAAAATGGACTTATTTCTTCAAAAATTTAAAAAGGATTTTATCTTTGACAGTGAAATTCCTAAGGACCCCTTGAAGGCCATTCTGTTGGAGTTAGAATGTCACTTTACATGGAATTTACTTAAGGAAGACATTCTGTTTGATGTGGAAGATACAATTGGGCAGCAGCTTGAATTTGTCACCACAGAATCCAGACTTAACTCTTTATAACCTATTGGCCTAAGTGAAACACCTAAAAGGCCAAAATGAAGATGCCCTAGAATGCTTGGAACAAGCAGAACACATAATCCAGCGAGAGCACTCGGACAAAGAAGTTCGACATCTGGTCACTTGGGGAAACTATGCCTGGGTGTATTATCACATGGACCAGCTTAAGGAAGCTCAGAAGCATTTAGACAAGACAGGGACCACCTGCAAGAAACTGTCCAGTCCTTCTGACTACAAGTTGGACAGACTTGAGATTGACTGTGAGAGAGGGTGGGCACTCTTGAAATTTGAGGAAAGTATTACCACAGGGCAAAAGCGGCTTTTGAGAAGGCCCTGGAAGCGGAACCTGACAATCCAGAATTTAACAAAGGTCATGCCATCACAGTGTACCAGCTGGACGATACTGACAGACACGGGTGTATAAAGAGCTTTTCTCTGGGCCTGCTGAGGAAGGCTGTCGCCCTGAACCCAGGTAACGCCTACATTAAGGTTTTACTGGCACTGAAGCTTCAAGATGTACAAGCAGAAGATGAAGGGGAAAGGTATATTGAAGAAATCCTGGACCAAATATCCTCCCAACCTCATGTCCTTCGTTACACAGCCAAATTCTACAGGAGAAAAAATTCCTGGGACAAAGCTCTTGAAGTTTTGAAAAAGGCCTTGAAGGTGACACCAATGTCTTCGTTCCTGCATCACCAGATGGGACTTTGCTATCGGGCGCAAATGATCGAAATCAAAAAGGCCACAGGCAACAGACCTAAAGGGGAGGATAAACTGAGAATGGACAGGCTTATTACAATGGCTATCTCTCATTTCAAAGTAGCTGTGCGATGAGACTCCAAGTTCCCATTTGTCTACACAGACCTGGCCAACATGTATGTCAAGGCAGGCAAGTGTAGTAAGGCTGAAGAAGTTTTCCAGAAAGCATTTCATCTGGAGAACATAACTGATGATCACAAACATCAGATCTACTACTACTATGGCCGCTTTCAGGAATTTTACTGTAAGTCAGAAAGTACTGCCATCCACCATTATTTAGAGGCCTTAAAGATCAGCGACCAGTCATCCCTCCGTCCCAAACTGACAAGTGTTCTGAAGAAATTGGCTCTGAAGAGACTTGGTCATGATGCTTCAGATGTGCAGAGTTTATGTGCCCTAGGGCTTGTTTATAAGCTGGAGGGAGAAGAGAGGCAAGCTGCTGAGTACTATGACCGGGCCCAGCGGATAGATCCAGAAAATGCAGAGCCCCTTGCTGCTCTCTGTGAGCTTCGACTTTCTATTTAAATATATACTCTAGGAAATTGTTTTTTAAGCTTTTCTTACCATTTTGGGCTCATATATTTTTGTTTATTGTTTTAATCCATTGGTTTTTTTTTTTTCTTCAAGATTTTATTTATTTATTTGACAGATACAGCCAGAGAGGGAACACAAGCAGGGGGAGTGGGAGAGGGAGAAGCAGGCTTCCCGCGGAGCAGGGAACCTGATGCGGGGCTTGATCCCAGGAGCCTGGGATCATGACCTGAGCCAAAGGCAGACGCTCAACCAACTGAGCCACCCAGGCACCCCCCCATTGTTAATTATAGAGCCAATTTTTATTGAATGTTTACTGTATACCAGGCATCATACTAAATGTGATGAATCTTTTGGCTTTTTTTTTTTAATTAAAATACTGTATCCATTTGAAAACAGAAACATTCCAGATGTACCTTTCAAAAATGGTATGGCATTATGACTATATCCCCTTTATCTCTGTTATTTATAATTTTCTGATTAGGGGCACTTGGGTGGTTCATTCGGTTACGCGTTTGACTCTTGATGCTTGTCCCTCTCCCTCCACCCCTCCCCCCTTCCTCTCTTTCTCTCAAATAAATAAAATCTTTAAATAATAATAATAATTTTCTGATTAAAGTTTGTCATATTTCCCATACTGCTCACTTATGCAGTAAGCATAATCCTACATAAGCCTTTGACCCCTAGTCAAGAACGCTCTTTCAGGAGTGCAAAATTATATTAGTTAAGCTCTTAACTATGTAGCTTGCAAAAGATGGATCCTATCCATTTCTGACTCTGATGAGGATATTTAACCATTAGCCTGATAGTCACTTAAAGAATCCTTTTTGTTGAAAGAAAAAGCTCATAATAGTAAAAAGTCTGCCATCTTTGATGACTTCAATAAAAGAAAAAAACTAAAACCGGGGGAAAAGGATTTCTTTAAATATAGAACTTTAGGGACCCATGAGAAATCAGAAGTGTTATCTCCCCAAAATGTTCACTGCGTAACTAGAAACAGCTGTGAGAAAAAAATGAACAATGGAAAATCGTTAGTCTCAAGTTTCTCTGGTCTTTTAACTAGAAGAATAAACCGAACCTAAATGGAATTAATTTTATTCCAACTAAAACTGCAGAGTTTTTGGGTTAAAATTATTGAGACAGACAGCAGATTGAGAAATTGGGAAAAATGATTAAAAAAATGGGTAAAGTAGATGTCCCCGTTCTACATCCATAGATTACCAGGGTTTCAGTGATTTGGTTTTGAGTCTGGACTGGGTGGTTCTTGTACCTCCAATTTCTGGCCTTTCGTTAACTCCTTTAGTATTCCAAACTTACTTCTGTATAGCTTTTTCTTTTGCCTGAAGGTTTCAGATTTACACGTTTTCCTGTAGATCTTTCAGGAATAGTTAAGCCCTACTTTTGGTTTGAATATCCACCTTGAAGGGTCTATTGCTTAAGGACTCTTATCCCTGGGGGGCTTTTTAAATTGAGATGCTGATGAAAGTGGTTTATTTTTTTTTTTTTTTTAAGACTTTACTTATTTGACAGAGAGAGACACAGTGAGAGAAGGAACACAAGCAGGGGGAGTGAGAGAGGGAGAAGCAGGCTTCCCGCCGAGCAGGGAGCCCGATGTGGGGCCCAATCCCAGGACTCCGGGACCATGACCTGAGCTGAAGGCAGACTGAGCCACCCAGGCGCCCCGAAAGTGGCTTCTTTAAAGTTGTTTCTTTGATTATCATCTACAGTTATATTTACCACCACAGTATTAGTGGAAAAGTGTGCCTTGTGGTTTGATTCTCTATACTGCCACTGCCTAAAGACTACTATGTATGTTTACTTTTTACTTATTGTTACTATTTTTATTTTAAATTTCTGTTATGATTTTATTACAAAAATGATGAATTCTCATTGTAAAATTTTAAACAGAAGCATATGAATTTAAAAGTAAGGAGCTTCTCCTCACCCTAACCCAATTCCACACCCCCCTGGTAAGTTGTTAACAATATGTATCCTTCCAGATGTGTTTTCTATGCATATTCAAACATACACCCATACTGCAATATATTTCATGAATTAAAACTTTTTAAAAGTTTGATTTACTTAAGTCTCTGCTGTTTTTATTTTACTAATTTCATTTGTTTATTCAAGAAGGAAGAACAGGGAAGGGAATGATCAAGTATTTCAGAAATTCAGGATGAAGTCCTAACCTGTCAGAAGGAGCATTTATCACATTTTGCAGCACATATTTTATTTTGCAGCAAGTCATTGGGAATAATGTTGGAATTAAGGTTATGTTCCCAAGTATGGACTCCATACACAATAAGATACAATTATGATATCAAAACAATAATAGAGCTAAAAGCCTCTATAATTAAATATTAGACTTTAAAGTCTATTAAATGACTTTAAAATTCACTAGATATTAAAACATTGAAAAATTGGTTCACAAGGGGCACCTCAGTGGCTCAGTCGTTAAGCGATTGCCTTTGGCTCAGGTCATGATCCCAGGGTCCTGGGATCGAGCCCCGCATCGGGCTCCCTGCTCTGCGGGAAGCCTGCTTCTCCTTCTCCCACTCCCCCTGCTTGTGTTCCCTCTTTTGCTGTCTCTCTCTCTCTGTCAAATAAATAAATAAATATTAAAAAAAAAAAAAAAAGAATAGCAGTGGTGGCACGCCTGGGTGGCTCAGTCGTTAAGCGTCTGCCTTCAGCTCAGGTCATGATCCCAGGGTCCTGGGATCGAGCCCCGCATCGGGCTCCCCGCTCAGTGGGAAGCCTGCTTCTCCCTCTCCCACTCCCCCTGCTTGTGTTCCCTCTCTCTCTGTCTCTCTGTCAAATAAATAAATAAAATCTTAAAAAAAAAAAAAAAGAATTGGCTCACATGATTATGGAAGCCGAGGATCATAATCGTGGCCTGCTGTCCACAAGCTACAGACCCAGGAGAGAGCCAACAGTGTAATTCTAGTCAGAGTCCAAAGGCCCGAGAACTGGAGGGATAATGCCATAGGGCTCCCGTCCAAGTCTGAAGGCCTGAGAACCAGGAATGCCGACGGTATAAGCTCCAGTCTAAGGAGAGGAGAAGACCAATGTCCAGCTCACACGGCCAGACAGACGGAATTCACACTTCTTCTGCCTTTGGGTTCTACTCAGGCCCTCAGCAAACGCGGTGAGGCCCATCCACACGGGGGAGGGCGGTCTGCTTTCATTCAGTCCACTGAGTCAGCTGCTAATCTCTCCTGGGGACACCATCACACACCCCCCCCCAGAACTAATGTTTAACTAGACATCGGGGGTCCCACAGCCTGGCAAGCCGACACACAAAACCAACCTGTAACTGCGTCCCAGGTGCAATGCTTAGCAGTCGCGCCATCACAGTGACCGGGTTTATTTTCTCCACAGTGAGGTCAACAAGGATTCTCTGGAGAAAACCCTTCCACAGCTGAAATGCCATTTCACCTGGAACTTACTTAAGAAAGACAGTGTCTCAGGTGATCTAGAAGATACAGTGTGTCACCAGATTGAATTCTTAAACACGGAGTCCAAAGCTACAATGTACAATTTCTTGGCCTACGTAAACCACCTGAATGGCCACAGCGAGGCGGCGCTGGAGCACCTGCCCCAGGCGGAGGAGCTGATCCAGCGGGAGCACCCGGATCAAGCGGAAACCCAAAGTCTGGTCACCTGGGGTAACTACGCCTGGGTCTACTATCACCTGGGCAGACATGCAGACGCTCAGATGTACGCTGACAGGGTGAGACGAGTATGGGGGACATTCTCACATCACTACAGTACTGAGTGGCCACTGGTTTCTCCAGTGACCAGAGCTGTCCGGGTCCTCTGCAGGGCAGGTCCCTGGGAACTGTGGTCACTACCGCCATCTACTGACACTGTAGCACCTGCTCGGCCTTGTTCCTAGCCATCTGTACATGTCTTAGCTTTGCCAGTCTCTGGGTGGAGCAAAACCAAAGTAGGTCCGTTGCATGCTGCCCTGAAAGGCTCAGAAAGCTAGGTGCTCACCTGGCTCTTCCTTTCCCAGGGAGAACCATCTCTGGCTGGGAGTTCCCTGTGGGCACTGAGCAGTGCCAGCCAGGGCAGGTGGAATCAGGGGGCAAATTGAAGCTGTTCTCCTCTTTTTGAAAAGTTATTCTCAGGTTTGTTTGTTTGTTTCCATTGTTGCTGAATTTGGTAAGTGGACACCTGAGCTTTGCCGGAGCTGGTTTTATTCACAAATAAGTTGTGTAACTGTGGATCTCAACTGGGGGCGGCGGGATCCCCTACTTCACCATCTTGGTGACATCACTCTCCAACAGAGTTTTGTGTTTCATTTTCAAATAACTCCTATCAACTACAAAACTGTCTGATTCACATCTATTGATTGATAAATGAACTTACGTATTTTACTTTTAAATCTTACAACCCCATAAAGTAGTTACTGCTGTCATTCACTTTTTAGTGAGGGAGAAACTGAGGATTCCGATGCTTAAGTCACCTGTGTAGACTCACAAACGTGTTGAGTGGTAGAGTCTGGACATGTAAGCAGACCAGACTGACTGCAAAGTCCAGGCTCCTTGATGGTGTCTCACTACAGACTACCAAGACCCCACAGCCCCAGCTCCTAGGGGACAGCCTTTAACAACTCTCCTTAGTCACAATCGTTGGCCTCACTCCCTGGCATATGCAGCTGAAGAAGAGACCTTCTGGGATCGAGGCCCATACATTTTACTGCATATAGGGAGCTTTCCTCAAAGAAAGTGACAGGGGCGATCACAGCTCATCTTCTGCTGGATGCCAGTCCTCATCTTCTCCCCTATACCCTTCCCTCCACCTTAAAACAGCAGACACTTGGCACAGCCTAGCCCCAAAGGCCTTTCTCTGAAGGTAAGTCCTGGGCAGGCTCAAAACTATACACATTAATACACCCAACTGAGAAGCATTTGGAGATTGTGACCACGACCCACTGCAATCCAATTACAACTCTTTTTCTTTCTGACTACCAAACTCCACAGAACCCAAAAGAGCACAAACTTCCTTTCCAGTTCTCTGTCCAGAACCAGGTGTCCAAAGGATAAAGGCTGGAGCCTCCCGCATGGAGCTCAGGAGGCTGGAGACAACATGGAACCGCCCATGTGCAGAGCAAAGAGCTGTGCCTTACCTTCCCAGTGTCATCAGAGGTCCCATCCTTTACAGTTCTAGATTCAGTGACCATTAGCCTCTACGGCCCCTCCTTTAGAGCTGCCCAAAACAATCTCTTCTCCCTGGAGGTGTTTTTACGATTCCTAAGAACAGGGTTTAAAAGTGGGCTTTAATCATAGCCTGTGTCTATACTGACATAAACCTACCACAAACAAATGTATATCACAGATACATCATTTATGAACATAGGTAAAACATTTAAGAAAAGCTGAAAACAGAGGCCAACAATTAAAAAAATGTCACTTCCGTGATCAGCAAGATTTCTCTTGGGCTGCAAAATAGGTCTGCTTGGGAATATTATATAAACATTAAACAAAACGGAAAAATTCTAAAAATATAATCCAAAAGAAGACCCCCTCCTCTTGGAATTAACTTTAAGTGCAAACCCTGGCATTTTTATAAAGAGCATGATGCTTTGTGACTATCTCTTTATTGAATAGTACACAGTGAAAATCTTTATTGGTAAATATATTTTAACAATATAAAATTCCCCCCTTATATTCATGATGATAATATAGTCCAGAGGTTTACATGTTCAGAGAAAAAAATATCTAGACATAAATAAGAAATGTGCAGCCTGTATGAAGGGAACTATTGGACTTCAGTGAATAATAATTTAAAAGATTTGAGTAGTAAGAAGTACAAATCATTTTCCTAAATAAAAAGATGAAGTATATTATGGTATAATATTCCAAGCAAAATCTCCACAAACTTTCATATTTTCACATTTTTTTTGTTCTGTTGCTAGAACAAATGTAAATTTTATGTAGAATAAAGAGGCAAACATTTTGTGAAAAGGCAGACTGAAGCTGAACTCGTGTCTTTAACAGCTACAATAATCTAAATATTTTAGTTCTGAGTTGTGAAAAAAACATGTAAAGTCCTAATATTATGTTACAGTTTAGTATGTGAAAATAGTACAATCTGCAAGAGGTAGAAAGAAATGGGCCTCCCGGGGTAACTGATGGTGTCTCTGGACAGCTAGTAAGAGTAGATGTTTACTTCCTATATTGCAATGAATACATATCTGTGTGTAATTGTAAGTATTCCTAATTGAAATATAAAATTTAAACTATCAAAGTTCAAAAAATCATGAGTTTCATAATTTTAATGTTGAGAATGCAGGACACCAATAGCAGACAAAACTTATTTAAAAGTTTGAATTTATGAAATCTTGACTTCAAAAAAAATCCTTCCGTGGACAAGTTTTAGAGGGTGCACCAAAATAATGAGAAAGGGAATCATATTAATGTGGAATAATATGTTATAAAGTGAAAAAAGCCATTAGGTATAGTTCTCATTGTTGCTGTAAACAGAGATAAAATATATAGATTCTTATGACAAAGAGCACATAAATCAAGAAGATACTGTAATACTTCTATGACCAACTATTATAAAATGAGCACCGCAGTTAAAATGAGGCTAAGGAACCAAAGGTACTGCAAGTCCTACGCAGCACACCCCAGAGCGCTGACTGCTGCAGCCAGCCCTGGGGGAAGTGGGGAGCGGCGGGCAGCAAACGGCCCAGTCGGTCCTCCCGCTCTTGCTCCCCATCCTGGGCCTGCCCATGCTGCTAAGAGGTCTGGGTGAGGCCTGTGAGCTCTGCTCCAGAGGAACCCTGTGCCCTGGTGTCCGGGAGCCCAAGACCTCTCCCCCAAACCCATTTACTGACCTCCTTCCCCACCCCAGGAACCCCAAAACACAGACCCTGGGTCCATCTGCAGCTTATCTTTTTTTGCAAACCCTGCCTGACATAAAACAATAAAACTAGAAACTTACAAAATAAATTATAAATAAAAATAAAATGAAGCTAAGGACATGAGCCAACACTAAGCAAGAAACTGAAGATGAGCAGTCAATAAATAGTGTTGAACTGCTCAATGTCTCTAGAAAATCAATTCAAGATTAT